TGATTTGGGGGGGGGGGTAATGGCTTTTTTCCCATATTTCCAATTTCTCCTTTGGTGACTCGGTGTCCCTTCCACGAGAGCAACCCCCTCTTGTCCATTGATTCGATTCTTTTATAGCAATTTTTAATTGGTTATACGGAGTTAAGAAGTGATGGGAAGCAGAGATTAGGTTGATTATGATTCATCATGAAACTCGGTCAACAAGAGACACTGCCTAATCTTTTGCCACCCACCAAGAGGGGTCCACATGAAAAACTATGATATTGCGAGACTAAAGCATTGAATCAATACTCACGATTTGAGCTTGAGCTTTGAACTTCAAGGATCTACAAAATGAAAAGAAAAAAAAATAAGTGCTCATTAACTAATAACAAATAAGCTTTTTATCTCTCACTAGATATTCAGCCAATGATAGAATTAACGTACAGTTCTCTCCCTTAGAGACTCATGGCTTTCCCTGCAATCGCTTTGCTTATTGATTAAGACATCACGCACAAGTCTGTCATAATTGACATGAATGGAGAGTTGTTAGTGCTCAATTGACCATACAGAGGAGAAAAATTAAGGTTATGAGAGTGAGATAATAATCTCATGAGGGAAGGGCAGAATCCAGCAGGTATTAGATACTGGGATGACCTTACACTAAATTTACAGTTCATCAGAAAACAAAACTGCAAATGCCAGCTACGAATTGTGTTGATTCAGCAGTATTTAAATAGTAAGATGGTTACGTAATTATCTAGAAAGTAACTTATGCCAGAAAACCTCATTATTGACTTTTCACCAAAAAACGACATCCCTCTTTAAAAAGAAAAGAAAAACCTCCAGGAGTATGCGTCCATCAGGGAGAGCAACGCTGTAAACTAAATTCAAATTCAATGCAATACGGGCCATCATGAGGATCATGCAAAATCAGATCAATATAGGATGTATACAAATCAATCAATCAATGGACTACCACTCCATCCCAAACTTGTTATGGTCGGTTTTATGAAGCCTCTAAAACCATCTCGCTCTATTTGTACCCACTTATTCAAATACCACTCCCTCTGTTTCAAACAGATTGTTATAGTTTGACTTGACATAAACTTATAAAGAAGGGAAGACTTGCATTTGTGTGACTGTAAAACTTTTGAGTCTTGTGGTCTTAAATCTGTCATAGCATTTATGTGGCTATAAATGCTTCCTACTAAGAAAATATTGAGAAATATCAACCTTTTCGAAATGGACTAATAAGGAAATAGTGCCAATCTTTTCGAAACGGAGGGAGTAAGTAATTTGTCTTTCAAGGTAAATGAAGGGTTCTCAAAAAAAGGGAGGTTTTCTAAGTGTCGTACATCTCCTTGCACTCGCCTAGACTAATATATAACTCTCCAACTTAATAAAATAACTCTAGCAAAAACCAGATCGAAAATAAGTGTAACAACTAAAATCTTAATCCCAACTAGCTGTTATTGCCTATATGGAACCTTTGCTTTTATAGTGATCAACTCTTAGCTAAATCCGTATTGATTCCTAGAGACGGTAGATATTTAACACACTTTTCCTCCCTGTGATTTAGGTTTACCTTAGAAGTCTTTAAGACCTTTAATAATCATAAGTTAGACTTAAGAACCGCTGCATACGTAGAGACTGTATATTTTTAACACACTTCTCCTCCATGCGATTTAGGTTTACCTTGATGTCTTTAAGACCTTTAATAATCATAATTCAGACTTATGAACTGCTGCATATGGAGGTTTACATACTTTACCATCTCACCCTTTATTAGATGTGATCATTTCTATCAAATTTTGTAAGCATTTGCTTTTTTACGACTTTCATCCTGTAGGTCCAATATTCACTCCTACGTATTATTTTTGGTTTCACAACCGTTCTATAGCAATGTTATCAACAGCAAAAAGCATACGAAAGTGTCAAATGCCTGCTCAATTTTTTCTCAAAGCACAATTATAACGTGGGCTTTATTGCAGAGACGTGCAAATGAAGTGAAAAATAAAAATATATATGTAAAGCAAGAAAAACAAACTATAAATACAAACAGCAATTATATGGACCCAAATATTGAGATACTGCAATGAATTGGAATATATGAAGAAAAAACCATATCAATCAACTCCAAAAATGATATTACATTTATGATTCAAATAAGCGAAGAAATGGATCATGGGCCAAACTCAACCGCAAAAGTTAGCTCATGAGGAGAGAATTGCCCAAGATTAAATAAGGAGACCACAACTCATTCCCTCAACCAACGCGAGACCTGACAAAATACAACTTCTGAATTTAGACTAGTGACTAATTCTTAATACATTGCTACTCTAATATTCTTAATCATTAATATATTTATCCATAAAAAAATTATTAAAGAATAATATATCTCTTTACTGTCAATATTTATTCTTGATATTGTTCATTTTAAGATGGAACACATGATTAATGAGTGTGTGCGGCCTGCAGTAAGATGCTACTTAAACGAGGCGAACCGCGTAACTTGCGGTGCACCGAGCTTCAAGGTCTAACTGCACCTCAAACGGGCCTCTTAACAACACACTATTATATAGAGCTTATCTTTCACTTTATTAGGTACCTTCCTATCGCATAACTTTCCTCTTATGACAACCTCAGTTAAGTCATGAAAAAACTATGTGACAGGAGAAACAAATATATTCCGAACGAGCAAGCTTTCCACTTCATTTTTATCGTATAAGCTTTCCACTTCACTTATCAGCCTATTAACGAATAAGGAGATAGTTAACCATAATTAATTAAGAAATTATCTTTAACGTTATCACTTCTCCGCTCTACAGATATTCATCACATTGCTTTCAATAATTTATTTTTGATTGGTAAGAAATAGGTGGGTGATGACATTGCTTTCTACAATTTAAGGGTAAAATCTAAAGAACAAACCACGGTCATGTCTTCTGGAACAATAGGAAGCACTTCCATGCAAAAGCTAATAGATCATGAGGCATTTCCAACAAAGAATCAATAACAAGTCCTGGCAACACAAACCTTTCTTTACTAGCTTTCGCTGCATCCACGGTAGACTCATTTGACTTTGTTGCTCTTATATCCTTCTTTGGACATTCAGGGCAAGTGATATTGCTAGAAATGGTTCCTAAACTATCCCCATCGAAATGTCCTGGAATACTATCAGCAGATAGCGTAACCCCCTGCCAACCACAAGTATAAGTACAGAAAAAAAGATCAACCACCAGTTACGGAGCCACGTGTTAGGGATTGGATTTAATCCCCTTTGTCCCAAAATCACAGTGTGCAATAGGGTAAAAACAATACACCAAAAAAATGGGGGGGGGGGGGGTAGTGGTAATAGTAGTTCGAAAATATCACATTGCATTTTTACAGGTTTTGAATCTCTTGTTAGAATTCCTGGTTCCACCACTGCCAGCCACAGCAGCAACAAACAGACATTGCAAAATTGGGAAGTCCAAAATCATACCTTTGCGACAACTTGAACAAGATCTTCAGACAGAATTACAAGTGTCTCTATGAAATTTCCACGTGCAATATTTGCCTTTCGATTACCCCTCTTACTCATCTTTGCTCTCTTCAAAACAATAGCTAATCCAAGTAACAAACACCAAAAGTAAAAACAATCAATAACTTAATCAACTAAGCCTTAATCCCAAATTAGCTGAAGTTAGCTATATGAACCTATATGATTCCTTGCTACTCCTCTCTATGAAAAAACCAGAAAATCTACAGAATCAAAGACTGGAAGTCTTACATTCCTCATTTAAAATAATAAACTATAGAAAAATGAAAAAGGCCTGCAAAATGACCTAAAAGAAGAAAAAAAAAAGATTTGAAAAACTAAGTCCAGATCGGATGCAGAAACTGATCTAGTCCAAACAAAAAAGGCTCGAATAAACTACCCAAAATAAAAAAAATCCGAAGATAATTTACAGATACTATAGAAATCAAAAGAGGGTCTTAAAAAAACTCACCATAGTCATCATCTACACAGGCAGTGTGAAAAATACCCGAATAAACAGAACCATCTTTGACATAAACATCAACTGGGAGGCCAATAATACACATAGTTGTGAATAATAAAGCATCGCTCAATGTAGCATCTACGCCTTTCTCTTCCGGCGCCAAAAATCCTCCTTTTTTGCAACCCATAGCTCACTTTTTGGCACTTTTAGACCGACTCTATGTAACCCCTCGTATTATATTTCAAATATATTGATTTGAGTATGTCACTTTGTAGTATATATATTTCGTATTTGCAAATAAATCTGAAGAATGAATTGTTTTCTGTTCCTGGTATTTTTTTATGGGAGAAGAGGGGAATTGAATCGAACGTATAACAAAGAAGAACAAGTATACACCTACAAGAAAAACGGGACTGTAACTTTGCTTATGGAACATTTTATTTGTTATTGGATTTTTGCTTAGATGCCCTCGCTACTTATGATATTTCTATTATTGGCTTTTATTGGCATTTAATTTCCGGATTTGCCCTTTCTTAATCTAGAGAGTTCCACTAATTGACCTACAACAACGAAACAATTAATTGACCAATGAGGAAATTGACAATTTGAAATTTGGGAGCTTTGTGAGTTTTTAAGAAAAAGAAACTTCAAAAAGATGGTGGAATGGAATAAAACATGCTCATGTAAAATAAACGTACGACAAAGTTTCGGGTCGGGTCGGGGCGACTACAGAAGCGATCCACCTTGTTAGGAGATTGATGGAGCAGTATAGGGAGACAAAGAAGGACCTGCATATGGTATTCATCGACTTAGAAAAGGCGTACGATAAAGTTACAAGGGAGATTTTGTGGAATGTTTGGAGGCTAGAGGTGTACATGTTGACTACGTTAAGTTGATTAAGGTCATATATGATGGAGCAAAGACCCGAGTGATGACGGTGGGTGGGGACTCGGATCATTTTTCGGTTATGATGGGGTTGTATCAGGGGTCAGCACTCAGGCCTTTTTTGTTTGCTCTGGCAATGGACGTATTGACGTGCCACATCCAAGAGGAGGTGTCGTGGTACATGCTATTTCCCTACAACATTATGTATATATAACTACGAAGTATATCGTAGCTAAATACAAAAAATTCTGTGGCTAAACACTTTAGCTATAATATTCTTTTCCGTAGCATGCGTAGCAAAATGTAGCGTAATTAAAAGTTAGCTACAAACTTTTTAACGTTTCATGGCTAAGGATTAATACATATTGCTAGAAGAAATTTTATGATGTGGCTATATTGATAAAACGTTTGCCTCGAAAAATTTATATTTATAGCTAATGAGTTTATTATTTTGCTACAAAAAAATCAACTTTGTAGCTATCTTTTATACTAGCCACAAAGGGATATATTGTGGCAAAAGATGTAATGTGTTTTGCCACAAAAAAATTAATATGTAATTGTACTCACATATTAACCACGGAGTATAGCATTTCTGATTAGTTACAAATTCAAAATTTTGTAGGTATAAATCATCATCAATATCCATAATTTTTTTATATATATATTTTATTTTCTGACTAGATTTTCTACTATATTTTAATTAGTGATGAAATATTAATTTATTAGTGACAATAAATGTTTCCATCGCAAATGCATTGCTATTCTTTTAGCTCACTAAATATTTTTAAAATTTTTAAATATTCCATATTCATGCATAGTTTGTTTTATGAAAACTAGAAACATAAATGTTAACTCTAAAATATACAAGTATATGTCTAAAGATGATGCATCCTCAATATACAACTATTCTACAAGAGACGCAATAAAATTTGTAGAATAAAAACTAGCTAATGGGAGGCTAGACATTAAGTGAACTCAAATTTAAATTTTTGTCAAACTAAAATAATACAAACTATGTATATTGGGTTAAATGTTTTATCTTTAATCTATAAATTGCAGGGAGTTCCACATCAAAAAAAAAAAAGGTTCTAAGTAATTGATCATGGGATTGAAATGATGCCACTTGATTGCATTCAAGGAAGAAATAACTTTAGTCTCCTTGATCTTGTATGGGTCGAAGTCTGACCGGACGAGAATTCGCATAGAGAGGAACGGCAAAAAGTCACTTGGGCCGAAGTCGTAGCCATATAATGGTATGACGACTCGTACCCTGATCACGGCTGAGGTCGAGTATTCAGAGAGCTTGAACGGCGAATTCGATGCTACGGCATTTCAGAAGGTCAACCAGTAATACAGTCAAATGACTTAGGTACTATAGATAATGACCGTTGGGTAAAGGAGAATACCTAGTATATAAACCAAGTGAAAAGAAGAAGGAAGGGGGCAGAAACATATTCACACACAGACATATTTTCAGAGAAGAAGAGGAACCTTCATCCTTTTTCTCTTCGCTAAGGAGAAAGAAGCATGGAAGCTCAGATCCTCAGTACATATCGTTAGTCTCATCATATCAAATGTATGGGGTCAACCTTGTAAAGGATCAGTGACCCTCTTTTTATCTATGTTTTCTTCACTATTATTCAATATTATGAAATCGTTATTGTTTTCTTACATAACGAGATTCAATCATTGTTGTAGTTAAATCTTATGTTCAGTCATGTATGTTCATTCATATCTTCTATTTTAGATCTAGGACAAATTATCTTTGGCTAGGATTTACCTTAAATTTTCCTATTTAATTAGTTTACAAAAAGGTTTAAATACTTTTTAATCAAACAATTTGGTGCCATCTGTGGGGATTTTCTAGCCAAAGCCTTAGTTCCCTCTAGATCCAAAGACGGTCTTAGCTTTACCTCCCATTCGGTGAAGTTTCACCCTTTCATCACGAAGGTTGACTTGCAAAATCGAAGTTATGCCTGGTTCACACACGAAAACTGCGTTGTACCATAGCAACATCCCTGATGTATTATGAACATGACCCAACCTAGTGGGACGACTACGCATACCAAACGTGTCTGTAATCCCATTTCCAGGTTAATACACAATGCCCCTACATCCCGCGCGTATTGCCTTCCCTCCTACTATATGAGATGATGCTTTTTGTGTAATTACTAGCTAAAATACTCCTCATCTGTATGTTTGTGGTACGATTTACGTTTCTGTCATCTTTGCACGCCTGGGACTAACGAACTGGGACTCAAACCGAGACCCTAATAAGGTAGTGGACCGTCCACCCACGAGATGCCAAAGCTAAACCAGTGGCGAGGCCGAGCGCAATGCTGAAGCCGGCATCAAGTCGAAAAATAGTATTAGAATACAGAACAAAGCGAGTCGCGTTGTGGCGCAATCCCTAGTTCATCACCGAACGAGGGAACTCCCCATATCCAAAAGCGCAATCGTCGAGAGAAACATGGCCAATCCCCATCATTTATCAGCTAAACAATCGACCAAGGTAACAGATTATCCCATGTACTTCTAAACCCGTATTCCTTCCTTAAAAAAGAGTAGAGAAGTGGAACTAAGAACAGGGACGTCCACCCAAACACGCAAACAATGGCCAACTAACATACAGGCTCTAAGTTCCTCCCTGCAACACGGTAAATCAGGAAAACCCTCCATACCGTACCATACTACAAATAACAGACAAACGACTCAGAATAAACCGGCATCACTAAGAAGCAATATCCATAGCCTGGGACTGGGCGGTGAGACCATGGAACGTACAGTCTCCCCTACACAGGCAAAACATGAACGCGAAAAGCTTGCCCATATGCTACGCCAATCCAACCAATTAAATACTACGAGTCATGTCTGAATTTCGTTCAAATTAATCGATCCCCAAAGTGCCTAGAAGCCCAAGAAATAAGCTCATCGCCTGTCCCGTCAACGGTCTCTCCAGGCCAAGCAATGAAGGGACTAAATAGACTGGGACTCACCCAGACGCATACATAGAATATGTATCAATGCTTGATATTCTCCAATAAAAGCAAGATTAGATAGACGGGGACTCACCCCGACGCATACATAAGATATGCAACAACGCTTGATATTCTCCAATGAAAGCAAGATTACATAGATGGGGACTCACCCCGACACATACATAAACGAAGCAGCAACGGGTTATAATTCGACCTTGCTCACTTTGACACATTTACGGCCATTGGCCATCACCAAACAAAGTAAAGTTCGACCCCGCTTGAACCCACAACGGGTTACAATTCTACCTCGCTCGAATCTACACTTTTACGGCCTTTAGCCATTACCGAGCGAAAGAAAAAATTGACCTCGCTTGAATTAACCAGCAAAAGTCTGACCTCGCTCGAACTCATAATGGGTTACAATTTGACCCCGCTCGTATTTACACCCTAACGGCCACCGGTCATCACCAAGCAAAAGCAAAATTCGACCTTGCTCGAATTTACAAAGTCAAAACTGACTCCGCCCAAGCTGGCAAGTCAAAATTCGACCTGGCTCGAATCTACAGGTCAAAAGTAACTTCGCCCAGATTGACAAGACAAACTCGATCTCGCTCGAAGTTGTATTTTTACGGCCCCCGACCATTGCCAAACAAAAGTAAAACTCGACCTCATTCGAGTCAACAAGCCAAAGTTTGATCTCGCTCGAACTCATAATAGGTTACAATTCGACCTCGCTCAAATTTACACCCATACGGCCCCCGGTCACTGCCAAAGAGAAACTCGACTTTCATTCAAGTTATTAAAGTTTGACCTCGCTCAAACTAACAAAGTAAGGTTCGAATTGCTCGAACTAACGAGATAAAATCCGACCTCACTCGAATCAGCAAGCTAAATTCGACCTCGTTCGAATTCCCAGCTAAAAGTCAGGGGCTCATCACGAGGAAACCTGAAGATCTTTTTCATTGGCAAAAATAAAGAAGAAAGAAAGTCAAAAAATACGCCACCAAAGGCAAACAAACTATATTATTCAGATATATATACATATACGATAGCGTCTTACAAAAGGCCGAAAGCATGCCCCTATAAAAATAAAACAAGCAACAAAAAAAAGCTAAGTACAAAAAGCTACAAAAACTTCACTTGGCCTCATCTCCACCACCGTCCTCATCAGCGTTGTCATTATCAAGAGAGAGCCCATCTTTAATCTCAGCACCCCCACCGGCCTCCGGTGTTTCAGGGTCATAACCGTAGGTAAGACGAGCCTCGCGTGCCTTAATCCAAGTATCATCAAAAGTAGACTCAGGAATGTTTCTCGCCACCCACATACAATCTCTTTGGGCCTCAGCATGGATCTATAGCTCGTACAAATGGCGGGGGACAGCAATAAAGGCAGATTTATAAGGGGGAGAACGAGCCAACAACTGCCCCTTCTCAGCCTCAAGAGCCACAACTTGGTCTCCCAGGTTTGAAGCATCCCTCTCGAGCTCGCCGATCCGCTCCTCGAGCCTTGCCTCCTTCAGTGAGGTTGTCGCCCTCTCGGTTTCCC